CCTCCAAAAACTCCCAACTTATCATGTCATATGCCTTTCTGAGGTCTATTTTCATTACATATCTAGGAGTTGTCTTCCTATTATAGTGTCTTAGTAAGTCATGGCATATCAAAACATTGTGCATCATGGACCTTCCTTATACAAAAGCTGACTGGTTATCTGCTACTATATGATTGATTGCTGGTTTCAACCTGGTACATATCATTTTAGATATACACTTGTATAGAATATTATAACAGGAAATTGGCCTTTATTGAGCTGCATTTTCTGGAGCTTCCACTTTAGGTATCAAGGCAATGGTAGTAGCATTTATTTGCCTGAGATATTTCCATTTTGAAAGAATTCTTGAACTGCTTCAGTGATGTCTCTTCCTACAATGGCCAGGTTGCTTTGTAAAATCCACTCCTAAATTCATCAGGTTTGGGACTTTTGTTGCTGTTAATCTGAAACATTGCCTGCTTGACTTCTCTTTCAGAAAAAGGTTGCAGTATATCTTGTTGCTGAGACTTTGATAACCTATTCCCATTCCTGATTATACTACCAAAAGCTTGCACTCTTTCTATTGCTTTCCTCCCTAATAGATCTTTATATTAGTCAACAAACATACCAGCAATTATATCAGGATCTGTTTGCCAAAGACCAGAGCTATCTTTGACCTAAGTAGTAGCCTGTTTCAGTTTCTTGTGCTTGATTACTGAGTAGAAATATTTAGTATTGTCATCTCTCAATCTAATCTATGTTACTTTACTCCTTTGCTGCAAATACACTTCAGCTAAGTAAGATAATTGTCTAAACTTTTGGTATGTATTGACTTCAACTTGTTGATATTCTAGGCTAGTAAGACATCTCTGCAGTTGAATTTGAGCCTATTTGAGTGTGTTCCTATCCTCATTGGCTTCAGCCACTATGTTATGAAATGCCTGATTGTTTAAGGCTTTTAATCTCTTCTTTAGTATTTTTAATCTTCTCGCTATATTAAACATTTTGTACCCTTCAACATTATAGTTCCAACACTCATTGACTATGTTCATGAATTGTGATTGTTGAGTCCACACATTACAAAATTGAAAGGATCTCTTGCTTCTTTGCCTCTCATTGACAAAAGTCACCTTTGCAGGACAGTGATCACTTATCCTCCCTGTCCAAAATCTTGCATTGCATTTAGCATAGTATTAAACCATTGCTCATTAATAAAAATTCAATCAATTTTAGAAAAAATTCTGTGCTCTTCATGTTTATCCAAGTGTATCTATTCCCTTGTGCATGTAGTTCCATCAAACCACACTCCACAACACAATTATAGAAATCCACCACTTCAGCCCATGTTACTTCATTCCCTCTTATTCTATCCTCTGCATTCAGTACTGAGTTAAAATCACCCAGTACCATCCATGGTTTACTGCATTCTCTACTGTGAGTAATTAAATCTTCCCACAATTCCTTACTCTCCTCTTTTGTATTAAAAACATACGCATAGGTTACTTCAAATGATAGTTGAAGAGGGATATGCAGTACTTCACATGTTATTAATTGAGTTGTCTTTCTTCTAGGTATAATCTGGTAATAATCTGGTCTCCAGGTGACCCAGATTCTACCATTGTAATGACAATCAAGATTTGTTACAAACTTCCATCCAACAAATATCTTGTCTGCTAGTTGGCCCATCTTTTCCCTTTTAACTTTTGTTTCCAGCAGGCCTATCAAGCCTACTATTTCCTCATTGCAAAGGAGCTTTATCTTCTTTTTCTTATTAGGGGCATTAAACCCCCTAATATTCCAACTTAGTAGACTAATTATCCCCACTATTAGGGATGTTTAGACCACCCACACTGCTTCATTCTCCCTTCTCCATGGATAGGTTGAGAGCTTCCTGCTTATTAAGAATCTGGAATGAGTTGGATTTCTCCATTTGTTCCTTCTGCCTTGTCACAGTCTTGCCATACTTATTAGGTATTTACCAACTTGGTTCTGCATTTCTTTCCTTTGCTACCACTTGCTCCTTTGCTATATATTGTTGTGTTCTTCCTAAAGTTACTTGTCCTTTATTACTCCTTATATCATTTGAACTGGTTTTCTGAGCTTCATTGCTCTTCTCACTATGCACTTGACCTTGCTTCTCCACCTGAGTGTCTGTTGTATGTTCCTTGTTCCTTTGTTCATTCTTAGGAGCTTGCTTCTTTAGTCTGCATACACCTTCTTCATGTCTATATTTTAAGCAATGAGTACAAAGTGTTGGCTTCCAATCATAGCTAACCCTTTGCTCTATTAGATTACCCTTCTCATTCCTAAACATCACCACATCAGGTAGTTTAGCATCCATTTCAACCTCCACTAACAGTCGAGCAAAGTTCAAATCAATCATCTTCTTTGTGTTATGGTCAACCATCAGTGGTTTACCAACCAAACTCCCTATTTTACTTAGTCCTTTTGGACTCCAATATTTAAAGTCCAATGCTGGCAATTTGATCCAAATTGGTACTGTAAGGAGTTCCTCCCGAGTGAACTCCAAATCAGGTGTTCAAGCTTTGACAATGAATGGTTTGTTGTTAAAATGATAGATGCCACCCTCAATTACCTCCTGATTTTCCCTTGCTGTATCAAATTATATAACAATTACCCCATTTTTTAGCATTGCTATCCTATCTATACCATGTTTACCCCACATCCTATGTATGTAACCTTGTATCACGGCAAACGGTGGATGAGCCCCAAGCACATAGCAGATGACAACATTTCCCCTGTAATCAATTTTCGTACTAATGTCGTCCAGTTTAATTTTAACAAAAGTAAACTCGCCTGTTGATTTAGGTTGAACATACTCCAAATTTATACCCAACATTTGATACTTTTGTGATATCGAAGTTATCCCACACTGAGCTCTTCTTCCCCTGCACTTCAGTCTCCTCATCGACCTCATCTACCCATGATTTCCTTCCATTACTCACATGCACTATTGGATTGCTGCTCGTGGATGCTTGTTGAACCTCATTCCATATTTGAATTGCTTCAATTTGCTAGAGTTTCTCATTTTTCAGTATTTTTGGTCCTGTTTCATTGAAATTAGGGTTCGATTGCTTACTTCCAGAATTTTCATTTGTTGCTACCTTTCCTTTGATTCCTCGTTGAGCATTACTCTGTGAAGCAACTACCTCCTTCACCATTAATGCTTTTTGAGATGGAATACGAGCTCTCTTACCCATGGTAGGCGCATGTTAAGCTAATATACACCGAGAGAGAATATTCTTATTGTTCCTAATTTCTCAAGTAATTTGCTAAGTGTTCGTAAATTTACTTCGGATAATAATTGCACCATTGAATTTGATCCTTTTGATTTCTTTATTAAGGATCTCAAGACCAAGAAAATTCTTCTACGGTGCAATAGCCAAGGCCCTCTTTATTCATTTTCTTCCTTATCTTTTGGTGCGGTTCATCGAGCTATTGCAGCAATGCGACGTTCTCCAAATCTTTGGCATCAACGATTAGGCCATCCAAGCGTTGCCATTCTTGCTATATTAGTTAGAGAAAATAAATGCTTGTCACCTTGGCAAGCACAATAAATTACCTTTTGTGGAATCTCAATCATTCACGAAATCTCCATTTGAGTTGATACATAGTGATATATGGACATCTCCCGTAGCATCTTTTACAGGCTTCCGTTATTATATTCTTTTTATTGATGATTATTCAAAAAATATATGAGTGTTTCCTTTAAAACGTAAATCAGAAGCTTTTTTAAAATTTAAATCATTTTATTCTTATGTCTCAACTCAATTTTCCACAAAAATAAAAGCTTTGTAATATGATGGCGGTGCTGAATATATTAAACTTTCTTTGTTTTGTGATTTTCTTGTCAAAAATGGAATATCATTGCATATCTCATGTCCATATACGCATCAGCAAAATGTAAGGCTGAACGGATGCATCACACTACTGCAAATATGATCCGTATATTACTTATCGTTAGGTAATAATTTGAATGCGTCTTTTTCATTTTTGTTAGTATGATGCGTTTTACGAAATATAAAATGAGGACATAGCAGTGAAATAGTACTGAAACAGATATGCAATTAAATTTGTTGGCATTCTCTATATTTTCATCCGTTGACTTATCAACAATCAATTGAGTATCATTTTTTTCTTGTTATAATTTTACCACCTCTTCGAGCTTCTTCTCTAATTTTTAACGAGAGAAAAATTGATAAAATAAAGGAGAAAAAGTCCCAACATAGCCTAGATATCCATTACGTGGTTTGTGTATTCCAAACACCAAAAGTCATAAATGATGTTGTCAATGTGTTACAAAATGAATCAATAATTGTTCATGGCAATGAATTTGTTTATTGGTAGAAAATGACATCTATGTTATGAAGTCTGATAAAGTAGTAAAAGAACCCTTCAGTCCCCACCGGCTCTGCTACCAGAAAGAGACACTTCTATTATTGTCGTTTCAAGTCCGAAAGAGACTTTTTGTGGTGTGTTTCAGTTCAGCTAATTTCTAATTTCATGTTCCATGAAATCGTTCGACTGAATAGCCATAACTAAGATAAAAATTAACACACAAATTAGTTTCTTAAATAACCAGAGTGAGTGTATTAAGTGTAGATTATCTTCAATTAGAGATGTCAATGGTAATCCGTAAAAGTGTAATTTGTCCAATTTTTCCAAACTTAAGAACATTATTTTACTTATCTTGACTATAACGTAATTTGTCCAATTTATCCAAACTTAAGAATATTATTCTACTTATCTTGACCAAAACGAACTTTGATTATGTCACTTATAACCATATATCGATTCAATGCGACCGTAGCCGGTCTAATGTCGACCAAATCCACATCTTCGCACCTTAAAGATGTCAATTGTGATCAAACCAAAATTAAACAAGTTGGACTATATAACTCATTACTCAACCCATACAATATATTTACATAGGCAAAAAAGATTGGATCATACTGCGTTTGTTGAGTAAGCTTCTTAACTCAACAATTAAAAGAAAATCCTCAAAGCCATAATCTTCATAATTATTTCAAGATTGATACAAAATTAACCAGTAATATAAGTTCTCATTGATATTATATCATCTGTCTATCATATCGTCATAGTTGATATTAATAATCACAGAGGAGAGACTCCCATATATGTACAAAATAATTACACTTTTTACATCGAAAATATACAGAAATCACGAACCATCTTCAGTTGAAATAGATGGATGGACGGGCTTTTTTAACAGAAATACTGCAGTCCAGATTGTTTAAAACAAAAAATATGACGTAGGCTCGACCACTCGGGCCGTCCAGCCTAGGCCATAGACCTTTTGACCCCGTCGAGGTAAGTATAGTCTAGATTAAAGATTAAATATAAGGGTTGATGTGAGAAGAGTAGTCACGAATGCCAGCTCCTTCCCATCCCATCCACTCTTCCCACATGTCCCAATCTGGATCGTTCACTCCTCTCATGGAATCATCATCCTCATATTCCTCGTATATTTCCATTTCTGCCCTCTTCGTTTCACCTCTCAAGTTACTCATCACAACCTGCACCAAAAAACCTACCCATTAGAAAAATAATACTAGTACTATTAAGGAGACTCTGAATAATGGAGAAGTTAAAATAATTCCAAAATTATTAAAAAAGGGACCTACGCAAACAAGTTCTAGTACGTATGATAAATAATTGAAACGGATAGTGACATTATTATTATTAATTTATTATATTATGTAATTGGCATTCCTCAACTTTCGACAAAAGGTGACAAGGACCTTTTGCCTAAAATAGTGGGTACTGGTTCCCTACGAGATTAGATTATCCAAGGATGAAGTGATTGATACCTACTTAAAGTATTTGTTTACGGAATAAAATTTTTATATCCATTGAATCTTTGGTTCACTTTATTTATTAGTATTAGGGATAGATTAGTACGGAGTAAAAAAATACACCTACACTATCAAAAACCCAAGCCTTCTTTCATCTGGTTCCTAGATTCTCTGCTTTACAAAGGGGTGCGCAAAACAAAGGGTAGATAGCTTGTGCTAATGAAATTATTAAACTTTATCGTGCTTGCATTCACTAAAAGAACCTTAATTATTTGTATTAGAGCTAAAAATAACATATTAACCACGTTTGTTTGAGAAAAAGAATAGGAAAAGAAGGAAGAAAAAAAACATATTTAATTATTAAAAAAATAAAAAAATAAAAATGGACAAACAGAAATAGTTGACGAGATGGACGAAAACTTACATCGTATGCTTCATTGATTTGGTGGAATTGGATGCCGCAATTATTTCCTCTGCACACATCCGGGTGATACTGAAATTCAATCAAACACATTAACGTTATTCAACATGTCTAATAAGCAGAGGAGACCTAAACGAAAACTAACAATAGCCTGATTACAAGGCAATAATTTCCCAGAAAGCAAATATTCCATGGCAATTACTAATTCACCAAAATATTTAAAAAAATAACAAAGACACCCTTTTTTCCATTAAAAGAATTTTATTTTTAATATTTGTGATGTCCGGATCAACTTGTACCACCTCCACTATTTCATCAATTACTTCCAAGTTCCAATAAGCACAAGCAGCGGTGTCGGCTACGGATTCAAACTAAACTTATAATTTTAGTATAAATTTATATGTACTAAAACCTCAATAAGGTATTAGATTTGAATGAATATAATACTAAAAATTTTAAAAGCTAAACTCATTAAATTTAAATCCTGAATCCACCCGAAACAAGTTAGGCAAGGAGAAAGAAGATACCTGAAGAGCGAGCTGTCTAAAAGCTTTCCGGACTTCAGATTCAGAAGCACCAGGGTTAATTCTCAAGGTTTTGTAAGGATCACTCACAGAAGGAGAATAAACACAAGACACCCCAAATCTAACATTCTCACCCTTCGTTTTCTTCTTTGAGCAGTTTTTCAAACGAATCCAAGACGCAGATGCAGAGCCGCAACCCCCAACGTTTCCCAGCATTCCAATAGCAGTCGCCATTAATGAATATCTTTTCAAATAAGGAAGGTATGTATTTTCAACAAATAAAAGATTGAAACTTTGATGTGATTCTAAGAAAATTAGCCACAAGCCGATCTTTAAATAGATTATGAATTAAGTTGAATATTCATATCAAATAACACGGCAAACCGAATGTGAATGGGACTGTTTTCCTAATTTATTAATCCGAATAATTGTTCATGTAAAGGTCAACAAGATGGAAAAAGGAAAAAGAAAATTGAATAACAATGTGGATATGAATATGTTTGCGTTGCTAAGCAGAGTCTGTTTAAATACATGTAAAAAAGGAGAAGAAAAAGGGATAAGAGAAAGACTGGTACGGTGTCTTTAGGGGTGGGAGTGCGGGGTACCTGGTATGATGGTCGTGGTTGATGGCGAGGTGACGTGTCAGTCTTTGTGTGAAGAGAATTTTTTTATTTAAATCTCGATAATTTATATCTAAAATAAGCTAGCAATATTAATATTTATATTTATATTTATATCTATCTATCTGTATCTGTATCTATATTTATCTATTTATTTATTTATATCTATGTATCTATCTATTATCTATTTATTATTTATCTATATTTATATTATATTAAAAGTACGAATACCCTTAGCGAAATGTCGTTCACCTTTTTTACCCTTTAAAATTAAAGTTTACGCTAGACAAAATAGTCATTCAATTATTTTTCTAATATTTAGGAATATTCATTTAATTAACTTCATAATATGTAGGACTTTAAAATTAACTAAAATTTGACTTATTAGTAAATTTTTCCATATTTTAATTATGTAGATTAATCCCACCAAAACTTTTTTGTCTTATAAATGTGTGTAGTTAACATTATGACTTAAGGTAGTAGTCACCTTTTAATTTTAACATTTTACTTAAACGAGTAATTAATTAAGTTGACCTTATACCATTCAAACAATTTGTTTGTAAATTTTTCTCCTTTATTCAACGTATATAGACATTAGGAATGAGCATTTGATAACGATTTCAATGTTAGTTTAATATTGATTTATCTCCTTTATTAATTATTTTATATTTTTAGATATAAATTTTATTCACGATATTTAATTATTTATTTAATATTAAAATTTTTAAATCAACTAAAGTTTTAGTTTAAGTTTTATTTTATTATCTATATCTATCTATCTATCTATCTATCTATCTATCTATATCTATACTATATAAAAAGCACAAAAACCCATAGCGAAATGTCGTTCGCCTTTTTTTACCCTTAAAAAATAGATCTCACATTGGACAAAATAGTCTTTCTAGTTATTTTTCTAATATTTAGGACAATAGTTATTTAGTTATTTTTCTAATATTTAGGACTTCTAAATCAACAAAATTTTCTATATTAGAGTTTTCTTTATTTGAACTATGTAATATATCATATTTGTAAAAGAAAAATAGTGACACGTCATAATACAGTTTTTAGGTTTAAAAGCTTAAGGAAAAACATTGCATATTCACATTAATAAGACTTCTAAGCCACATCGGCTAAAAGAAAACGAATATTACAAAGAGGAAAACAGACAAGAAAAAAACATACACTGCAAATACACATTTGGAAAAATTTGAAACACTTTGCACTTCTTTTAGATTTAAGAGTCCCCTTTTTAACCTAAAAACGTGATTGATTAAACCGTTTATTTTGTTAATAAAATATTTGCAGATTAATTATTTACTAATACAATTTTAAGGGAATAGTTCACAATTAATAAATTTAGCATTATATGCTTCCAATAAGCTATTAATAAATTAAAAATTAATTCAATACTCTAATCCTTACTAAAAGAACATTAATGGATATAAATATTTATAAGTTGTTATTCATTAAACACTAACTATTAATTAATAAGTTTCATCACTTACAAATGTGAAAAAATTATTTTCAAATGAAATAAAATAAAAAATCAAGATTTGAAGAAACAATTATAAAGAATTCAATAATGAAGACCTAACAAAAATTATAACATGTAGAAGTTTTGGATGAGAGGTTCTATCAAATTCACTTTCATGACGTAATATTATTGTTTTCAATTTCTGAAATATAATTAATTAAGAGAGTTTTTAACAAGTCAAAAGATTGATAATGAATTTTTTATGATCTACAAATCTAATTACAGAAAGTAGCACACGAATTGTGTGACGAGCCCGTGTGTAAGGCATTGGGCACATACCAAGCATATGCTGAGCGCTTGAGCATAAGCTTCGCAAGATAAGAGCTCACACGTAAGTCCAAGAGCATTTCATGAGTGTCTTGTCTCGTACCGGTCCATATTTTGCCTAACCCCATTTGATGAATGGAAACAAAAGTGATTTGTAATAGTTAAATACAAAGATTCAAAATTGAAACATCCATCAACTTTTTATCTTTTGAATCCTTCTTATTTTAAAATATGTTGGAAGTTTAGATATTTAGGATTTAAAACACAATCGAAATTTTACGTTCTTATTTAAATAATGTAACATGACCAAATTCTTTTTCTCTATGACTATAATTCATGAGAGAGAAAATTAAAGATGGTGGTCAGATAACTTCGATACGTAGTTGGCGGGAATATAATCACAATAAGTCATATTACTTCATTTATCGAGCTAGCTAAATAGGAAAAATATTCATAATTTTTAGGAACTTATATATTTTTTATTTTTTAATACAAGCATATTATTTAATAATATTTATACGATTTCTTAAAAAGTTGTATACTCACTGACATGGGTACACGCGCAACACACGTACCATAAGACTAGTTATTATAAAAACACGAATGTTTCACGCTAAATATTGAACGACAAAAATATCCCCTAAATATTGATCGACTTTTATGCCCCTAAAAGCTAAATTATTTTTTCACAGAAACAATCCATATTGGGTAAAATTGTAATATTATTTACCTAATTTTTAGATTTTTGAATTCGATAAAAATCTGGTCTCCATGAATTTCTGTCAATCAGCCATGAATTAAAATTGTTTCCCAACTCATGTTATCATAATACTTCTATTAGAAAGACATTAGTACTCCTCCGTTATTTGAAATTCTTCAAAGAGATAATCTATATTTGATAAAATTGTAATATTAAACTTTACCTAATTTTTAGATTTTTGAATTCAACTAAAATTGGGTCTCCGTGAATTTTCGCCAATCAGCCACGAATTAAAAAAAAAATCCAACTCAAATTATAGTAATATATACTTCTATCAGAAAGACATTAGTACTCATCCGTTTATTATACCTCTTGATGAGTGAATTTTAATTCAATTTTATAGATCTATTGTATGCTTTGCTTGTGTATAGTTTTGAACGAACATGTGTAGTTATGTACCATGATTAATTTATTGTATGATTTTGTTTAAAATTCTATGTGGGGCAGGGGCAAGTGGAAGTAAACCAGATTGATGCGAGAGATTTCAATTGCGGTGGAGGATGATGTGTCTTTTGTGGAGACTGGCTGAAGATAGTTGAATGTTGTTATATAATAACATTGTTATATACAACTTATAAGATACTTGAAATAAGCATAGATGTGTGTCTTACTACTTCGTCTCGAGATTTAATATAAGCATGCCAGAACCTTTCAAAAGCGTGTATATGTTGCTATGGAGAGGTAAAAATCCAATCTTGTGTTCAATTTATATTGGTATATTGTTAAGCTATATATTTTCATTGTGTCTTTGTTCTCTTTGAGTGCTAATACCCAGTACATCATCCCTGCGATTGAGACAAGAACTTAAACATTTGATTGATATCTGTTTACCCGAAAAATCGGATAACGTTAAATTTAGATATGGTTCTAAGGGTATGCGAATCCCTTTGATCCAAAATGACAATACAAGTATTTTTGCTATAAAACGGAAATGATGGACGGGAAGACTGAAAATGAGTTAGAAAAACAAGCACAATAAAATCTTAATGTATCTTCGAGGGCCTGTCTATTGCAGTCTATCTCCCTTTTTATAGTAGAGGGTCACTGCTTTATCTATAACAACATAATAAAATAATACATATAGTGGAGGATCCATGATGGTTTGTCTCTGCCTTGATTCCCGCCAAGATTCTCTCCCTCGGTGCGATTGTAACGGCTCTTGTCTGCGAGCTTAGCACTGGCTCAAGCTCGGTGTTAGATCGATTCTACCTTGCGGCATCGATACTCGGGGCCTGTGTCGACCGGTGTTGCCCCGTAGTCCGATTCGGACATGGGCTCGATAACGATATCGAGTTTTGCCGTCGATTAGTCTTATAGTTCGAAGCTCGACGCCCCTACTTCGGAATTCGTCCGAGCTTGTCGTGTGGATATCCTTCGATTGAAATGTCATTATCTCGATCAGTGTTTATGATTGAGAACCGGTTTTAACCGTACACAGATAGTCCCCTCGTTTCTCGGAAAGGATGTGGTGAGGAACGATATGATTTCCATGCGACTCGATCAAGTTTATGCTGACGTTACTATCGACCCCGACCATGACGTATGTAATGCTCGATCATCTTATGCGTCTTTATAGTCCCCGACTTTATCGAGGATACCCAAATTTTTTCTTCCCCTGTGGGAATTGCCAGTTACCTTCGGTCCTTGGTGACCGGAGAAGATCAATCAGTGATGAATGCGGAGGGGCTTCCTGTCTTTTCAACGAGGCCCAACATGCTTTGAATCGGGTAACTTCTGATGGCATTTTCGCCACTTCTTTTACACAGAGTTGTAGGTAATTCTAATGTTTCTCCTTTTGTTT